GACCCTGGGCAAGTCACTTAACCCCAATTGCCAAAAAATTCAATGGCTAAATTTCTTCTGAAATATGAGCACCTACACAGATTAGTTCCAGCTTACCTTTTCAGATTTATTTCACAGAATATTCCACATCATGTACCATATACTTGAAACAGAAGAACTCTTCCCCATGCCCTATGGCTGTCCTCTTCACAGAAACACAAAATTTTAGAGTTGAAAGGCTCCTGAGTAGAAAAACAGTTGAACCAGTACTACAAAGAAATTACAATTATATTCATGGATAAATGCTTATCCAGCCTTTGCTTGAAGACCTTCAAGGATGAGAGCTCTCCACTTCCCAGAATATTCCACTTCATTTTTTGACAGCCTTCCAGATATCAAACCTAAATTTGCCTTTTTGTAATTCCCACCCATCATTCTTGGTTCTGTCTTCTGGGGCCAAAAAGAACAATTCTAATCCTTCCTACACAAGACAGCCCTTCAGAGAATTGAAGACAACTCTCATTGTTTACCCCAATCGTTTCCTCCTCAAGCTAAAGTTCACCATTTCCTTCAACCCATCCTCATGTGACATGAACTCAAGGCCCTTTCACCATCTTGATTGCCTTGATTATCCAGGAAATCCTGGACACGCTCCAGCTTATCAACGTTCTTCTTGAACTGTGGTTCCCTGAACAAGACAAAATATTCCAGACAAAGTCTGACCAGGATTGAGTACAGAGGCAATAAGACCCTCTTAGTATCTGAAGTTATGCTTCTATTAATGCAAGTCATTATTGTATTACTTATGTTTTGGTCATTGACACACTGCTAATTCACTGGGCTTGTAATCCACTAAACCCCCCCCCCAGATAATCTTTTGAACAAATTATTTTCTAACCATGCCTCTCTCATCCTGTGCCTATGAGGCTTATTTTTCAAAATGAAGTATAAGACTTTACATCTGTCCTTTCTGAATTTCATTTTCTTAGCTTCAGCCTAATGCTTGAGACTGTCAATATCTTTTCATTTTTGTCTAATGTGTTAGCTACCCCTCCCAGATTTGTGTCATTAGCAAATTTGAATAGCACATCACCTATACCCCAAGTCATTGATAAAAATGCACAGGACCGAACATAACTCCCTGGAAGGCTTGATTGAAGACCTTGAGTGAATTTGACATTGAAGCAGTAAAAAGGATTCTTTGAGTCTAGCCATTCAACAAAAGCTGAATCCAGCTGTGAAAAATGTGGAGAGATGTGGACTAGAATATTATATGATTGTGCAACACATTATTGCATTTTCCATGAGAACAGTATAGGATGCTCTATGAAATGCTTTTCTGAAAATCCAGGTAAGCTACCACCACAGCATTCTTCTAATCCAACAGTTTAGTAAACCTTTCAAAAAAGGAAATAAGATTTATCTGACATGATCTGTGTTTGGTAAAGCCATACTGGAATTTTGTAATCCGTGCTTTCGTTTCTAAAAGTTTTTGTATCAGTTCTTTAACTATACATTTGAATTCAAGCTCATTGGCCTATAGGGCCATATCACTATGTCCCTTTATTTTTTTGAAAATTCGTGACTGTATTTGCCCTTCTCAAGTCCTGTAATATCTATTTTCCATTCTTCCAAATAACACTGACAAAAACAAAATAAAAAATTAAATTTTAATTTTAAAACTGGCTTTTTAAAAAAATTAAATAATGTTGAAGTGAAAAAATGAAAATTTAAAGTAAAAAATAAAATACAGTGGTTCTGCAATCACACCCACCAATTCTTTCAGTACTTTTATGCCAGATGACTTGAATTCATCCAAGACAGATATTTTCTTATTGTCTTACTTAATTTAGAAATCAATTCCCTATTAGTCATTTTTGTTCAGCCATTTTCAGTTCAAAGACAATTTTTCTTGTAAATGAAAGTGAAAACTACAGCAAAATGAAAATCAAGTATCTCTGCCTTCTTTTTGTTGATACTTTTCATCACAGTATCTACCCCACACAGGATTCCTTCTCTTTTCCCCAATATAACTAAAAAAATCCACTCCACTTCTTTTTGTTTTGACCTTTCCTCAGCTCATTCTGTGCTCTGTGATAACTGACACTTTTTCAGGGAATTTGGAATTCTCATATACTCATCCTCTATTACCTGTCTTTGTTTCCATTTTAAAATCATCTTTTTCATTGTTCTATGTTATGGAAATGTTCATTTTATTCCATAAATTTAAAATAACATTAAAAATAATTCCATATAAAAAATTAAGTTGGTTGGTGAATTCTCTGTCTATACACTTCAGGCATTTCAGATAACTCCTAATTTCCCTATTTATGAGAATTGTTTCCTTTTGTGTGTTCATACTTTCATTCTTGATCATCTCCCATCCCTCCTGGGCTGACTGCCCTTTAGAATTTTAGTCCATGAGGTCCTATCTATTCTTTCTATTAAACCCTTGAAATCTGTGCTCCCAATATCTAGGTGGTATGTCAGACTATGTCACCTTCTTGCCTTTATCAAAAACTCTAGGGGAAGGTGGTTACTGCCTCCACAAAGTTCTCATAATTTCCATTACAGCAATGTGCTCTTCCCTGTTAGATCCCTTTTAGAATTTTCTCTTTTAGTTCCTCTATCTTTTGAAGGGTGAAATTATCATTAATAGAGGTCAAGAAGTTACCAGATGATCTTCTTGGAGCAGAGAAAGAGGAGAGAGAAGGGATAGAGAAAAATGAAGAGGGGGAGAGAGAGACTGACAGACTCAGAGACACATGGACAGAGAGAAAAGAGAGAGACAGAGACAGAGACAAGACAGACAGACAGAGAAATTTAGTAGATGTTTGTATAATTGAAGTCTCCCATCACTTCTGTATTATTTTTCTATACCACCTTTGTCAACTTATTTCCAAAACTTCTCATCTGTCTCTATTCTCTCTCAGTTGTCTGTTCTGTATTCTAGTGACAAAAAGTGATTTTATTTCATTCCTTCAATTTTCACCCAAATAGTTTGCAACATGATTCTCTTCTGTTTCAAGATTTCCTGATGAGGACATTTTCTAAATAGATAGTGCTGTTCACCCTCCCCATTTTACTGGTCCTATTTCTTTGAATAGGTATACACTTCTATAGCCACATTCCAGTCATGAGTTTCATTCATCCTTTCAAGTCTCAGTGATACATATCCTGTGAGGTCAAATTTTCTTGTATTAGGTCCTCTAGTTTATTAGCTAATCTTTTGGTATCCCTATATAGAAGTCTGAGGCCGTGAATTTTTACTATTATATTCTTTCTTGGATTGTCTCCTGTGAACTTCTGGGTATCTCAACTGTTATTCTTCTTCACTAAACCTACCTTCTATGGTACCCAGCTTAATAGTTAAACATAGACAACCCTCCCCACCCCCATCCTTTTTAGTTGTAAGCCCTTTTGATTAGATTTGCAAAATACCTGGAAAAAACAATTTTTAAACTTTTTGCCAGTTTTTGTTAGGTGCACTCCATTCCTGACCAGGACTTTGTCATCCCTGTATTCTAAGCCATGATCCAATAATCCAAATGTTATTCTCAGATACCACATTATTTGCAAATGCTCATTTCCCGAGTCAATGTTTTTTTTTTCTTTTCAGTACCCTTTCCTTCAATGGACCATAATAAGGAATACATAACCTGTGCCCCTATGGTCTTTAGTTCCTTGCCCAGCACTTTGTGATTTTTGGCTGTACTTTTTGTGTTCTTTCTGGCAGTATGAAGTGTGCCCATATGAATCACCAGCAATCAGTAGTAGTCATCTGTTTTGACAAGTCTTGGCTAGTTATTTGTCATGGCTCAGATGCATACCCTAGGAAGACAGCAGACTTCTCAAATGTTCTAAGGTCAATAAACAGATGCCTCATTCCCCATGAGAAAGTGACTGACCAAGCACCACTGCTTTGTACTTTTTCCTATGACCTTTATTTAACGATCTCATCTCTACTGTTTCTGTCTTTGTTCACACCTATTTCCTATGGCTATAATATGGATTCTGCTCCCTTTTGAATTTCCATTTGTTGAGAGTTATCCTTGTAGTGCTCAGCTTAGTTTCTCCCTCCTTCCTCAAGGTTTCCTTCTCACACACACACACATACACACACACACACACACCTCCAAATAAAAGTGATAGTCTCTCTCCTCATAGAATTTTGTTTTGATCTCTCCTCTGCATTTTTTACATTCTGTTTTGTATTATATCTCTTCGTGTACATTTCTTATATATACCCCACTCACATTAGATTATAAGCTGTATTTTAGTCCATCTTTGTGTATGCCCAGCATACATAGCCTAACACCTATCATAGTTCCTCGAATCTAGAAGGTATTTTTTAAAAATAAAAAAAATTAATTGAATTGATTCTAATATTATCTTACCAGGCCCTTGCCTACCATATAACTATTTGAAAACATGAAACCTCCTTTGTGTGTTTATGAAACAGTTAAAATAGATGCTAGTGCTCTGCAGCCTCCATCCTACTGAATATTTTTTTTTGATTTTACAGTGGAATTTCTCTCACAGGTTAAGGCTATACAGCAAGACTGTTTAGGAAGCCCATGAAAAGATGAATGTCTAGATTGTCCGTAGTCCTTTATGAGGTACCCTAATTCTCTATTGTGCATGTCACTTAAAGTGACTCTTGAAAGTTTCCCAACTTGCCTTTTGGTTGTTGTTATTTTATGTGGGAGCATGAGACATAGCAATACTCAAAGCTAAGCAGGACCCAGATTGGATTAGGTACAGAGGAAATATTATTTTCACAAACCACACTCTAGAGTGAAATGAAGTCACACTACCAAAACCTCTTTTGTTTCTCTGTCTACCTCTGTGTTTTTATAACAGCCAAGATTTTGCCAAATCATCTAAGTGATCTGAACCACTCCATACAGGGAATTATATATCATTATTGCTGTCCTGATTTGTGGCACTAATTGAACAAATAAACTAATCTACCCTTTTTATCATTTTACATGTCCTTTTCCCTCTGCTTTCCCATTTAGTACTCGTGACATCACTGAAGACCATTCCAGAACTGTGCCGGAGATGTGATTCACAGAATGAAGACAGATCAGGTATGCCCTTCAATCTCTTTTGCCCCCTCCCTTTTTTTTCTAGACGTGCTTTAGTGAGTATAGGCTTCTGGCAGCTTGCTGTCTTCCCCTTGTTGCTTTCTGCTATTTTATTCTTGTACTGCTTTTTCCCCAAAAGGTTCTTCATTCCCTTCCCCAAAATGTTAGGTCACCAGCAAAAAGAGAAGGGATAGGGAGGACCTAAGAGGATTGGCCATATATTTATAAAGGTAGGAGATCATCTCATCAGCTCCAAACCATAGTATGTGTAACAATTTGCTGAAAATCAGAGAAACCATTGGTGACAAGACGTAATGATACAGGCGCCAATGAAAAAATGTTGGATGCATTTACTACCCATATGGTAATGGACAGCTTGAAAGATGGGGCTTTGCCAAAGCCTGAAACCCTATCAAGAAGCTACATGATAGAATCTACTATAAGGCATACTGTAGCAGTTAAGATTAAAGCAAAGCTTTTGAGTCTAATAGTGTAAACTAAACAGAGAATCATGGCACATAGATGAGAACCAGCTGGATGAACTCTCCTCCCTGCACTACCCCCCTCCTCTAACAAAAAGTACATACAGTGTTGTTTTTCAGTCTGTAAATCAAATTAAACCTCTTTGTTTTTCTCTCTCTGATGGGCAAAAAAAAAAAGGAATTGGTGGGGTGTGAGTGTAGTACTAAGCTATGATATACTTGTTATTCTTTCATATGATGATTGAGAGCATTGTTAAATCTGGAGCCTCAGTGGTAGCCATCTGAATCCTTAAATCCATGGGCAATGTAAGACTTGAAATTATGCTCAGATTATTGTATCAGGTTTAGCAGTGAATAAATTAAAGTTCTTTGCCTATAGTGCTACCAATATGTTACTTCATTCATATTAAAAAGATTTTTATAAATCCTTATATATTTTTTTCCACTACACAGAGTGGATACATGACTGGATGTGGAGTTAGGGAAGACATAGGTTCAAATAGCTTCTCACTTAATAACCATTTGACTCTGAGCAAATCACTTAACTTTTTGGTGCCTCTGTTTCTTTGTAAAATGAAGAAGTTGTACTTGATGGCCTCTAATATCTTTTATAGCTCTACGTCGATGATCTTATTATCTTATGGACATTTGTTTTTGACATTTGCGTAGATGAATTTGTGAAAGTGTTTAGTATTTCTTGGTTTTGTTTATTACTCTAGATTTTGTGAAGAGAACTGGTTTGATTCAGAAACAACATTGATGGATATGCTAAATTCAGCTAAAACCATTTTTATTTAAACTTTTTTTTAAAAAAGCACAAAAAAGGTTTGAATTATTTAATGGAATCTTTTGGTTACAGAGTCTCAATTTGAAACTTAAAATCACAGTTGGCCTGTCCTTGTAAGAGATCACCTAGGGTGAATTGAACCAGTGAATGACTAGATGCACCAATCACTTGAGTGAGGAGAGGGTAAGAAGTAAGCTGTAGGGACAGTAGAGCTCCATGACAATACTGTATCTTAAGTCCTACCCCTCAAGTATTTTCAAATCCTCTCGGTGCTTCAGAAGTAAATTTCACTTATTTATTTATTTAATAAAAGCTTCTCTCAATTACCAAGGTAAGTAGCTAAACAGAAACTTCCAAACAACTTCTGGTGCATTTGTTACTAGTTACAAAGCAAATGCTTTGACCTTCTATCCAGACCATTATCAAAAATCACTAATTTGAGGCAATTAAAAATGAATGTGTTGAGGGGAAGAGTTTCCCATCCAGCCTGGGTGATGAAATCACAGACGGGGGAGAGATAATGAGGTGCCAATCTAGTAATTCATGTCATAAAAGAAAATGAATTCCATCCTCTCTTTTTGTCCTCTCTTTTTGTTTACCCTTGGTGGCTCCTGGTGATCACCACTTCATTCTCTAAATATTAATATGTAACATTCAACAATTTTGCCAAAATTTGAAGTTTACGGGCCTATAATTAGAAATATGTACTTTCTTTATGAAAAGTAGGGCATCATCTGTTCAACCCTAGTCCTGTAGCATCTCTCTTTTTCTTTTTTTCTTAATAGTGTTTTATTTTTTTTTCCAATTACATGTAAAGATAATTTTCAACATTTATTTTTGTAAAATTCTGAGCTCCAAATTTTTCTCCTTCCCTTCCTCTCTCCCCTCCCCCTTCTCCAAGACAGCAAGTGATCTGATAGAAGTTATATATGTACAATCATGTTAAACATATTTCCACATTAATCATGTTGTGAAAGAAGAATCAAAACAAAAGGGAAAAACCACGCATTTCTCCTTTTCTTAACAATAGCTCACCTATCACAACCCTGTGAGGTAATAAATTGACTCAGTCCTGGTAGCTTGAATTCAATGAAGACAGATAAGTGCTCACTTTTTTTTTTGCCTCTCTCGAGTTTCAGTTGCCTGTTAACCATTTTTGTTTCCTACTTCCCATTATGTTTTATCTTTATACGTTATTCATTGAATGATTCTGTAACACTTCTTTGTACTTTTTCCCTTAAGTATTGTAATACCTGCCCTTCATTCAGAAGCTTAACATTTACATCTATATCATCCATATATATATTTCTATTTATGTGTATCTCTATACTGATGTATGTGTACATGTACATCTATGTATATGTATAGACTTGACTTTACTAGGTGCCTAGGATACAAAGATAAAAATCAACATAGTTTCATCCTTGTATATGTGTGGTATATGTCTCTTTCATGTATATGTAATACATACATACACATATGTATAGGCATATGTGTGCATGCACACACTTAACTCTACATATAACTTTGAATACACATATGTGGATATATAAATATATGACAAACATCAGAGTTAATCTTTGGAAATTGGTTGTTCAGGCCCAGTTTTGAGAATATGGGTCTAGATCCAATTGACAAGCAGCAGCCTAAAGCTGGAGCAGGTTTATGTGATATTTAAAGGTTTCAGGAAGGCCCCACCCTACCTTAAAAATCTGTCCCTGATTAATAATTATCCTCCCAAATGACTAATTATTTGGCTGAAATTCTACCATAAGATTTTAAGGCTTTTTCCACAGGGAGAGGTAATACTTTAATTTGTTGTCAGTTTACTGTGACTAAGTCTCCAGTCTTTTCAGAGCAGGAAATTTTGCTTGGGAGAAATATGCCAAGTACCTCAAGGTTGTATCATCAAGTGGGAACAGGATATATAACTAGGAAGCTGAAAAGCCCTAAGGACAAACTTCACCTGCTTCATAATTTTGCATAGAATCATGGCTCCAGAGTAGGCTCAGGGGCCCCTGAGTTATTCACTCATTCCACAAACATTTATTTGTTTAAAAAAATATATCTATTCTGTGCTGTGCACTGTTCCAGACTCAGTGTAAGGAAGAGTACAAAATTTGGATAAAGCATTGTCCCTGATCTCATGGAGCTTTTCAGTCTAGTGGGGGCCTGAGTAGAATTGCAAATAATTGACCAACTTGGAATCCAGGCAGCTCAGCAAATAAGACTAGTTCTGGGTCAATGAAAGCTGTAAAAGGGAAAGAATAATGATTTGCAGTAAAAAGTTTGATTTCTGTGTAGGTGTTGCTTAATACTTGCTATCTTACGCCTGGTAACTCGGAAAAGTAATATATTGTATTTCACTCTGTGAAATTATAAATATAAAATTATATGGACATATGCTATTCAAATAAAATATTTTCAATTTAATCTAGTTTGGGGATCATTTTGTTGGCTTGTACATATTCAGATATGCACTCATTTTAATGTAAGTTAAGTTCAACTGATTGTTATTTTTTAAAAGTAGCTGCTAAACTCATTGTATGCATTTCTCATAAAACAAGCCAAAGTAGTGTTTGATGAAAAATTCAACTTCATGGCTGAAAACTTAGATAAGCTGAAGTAGATAAATAACATGACAGTTTGTATGTAAATATTTTTCATTCATTTGTTTAACAAACATTTATTAAATGCCTATTCTGTGTCAAGCATTATGCTAGACAATGACTGTACAAAGAGGAAAAAAATTAAATAGAACCTGCCCTCAAGTAGCTTACATTCTCTTATGAGTAAATAATACATAACAAGAAAAGTATGAAATACATACAAAAGCAATACTAAATAACTTCATGGTACTAGCTGCTGGAGAATTTAGAATAAGCTTCTTGGAGGAGGTATCATTTTAACTGAACTTTGAAGCATGTAGATCATAGAAAGTAATACTTTTTCTCGGTGGGCCCAATTACAGCAAATGGCCAAACCATAAGTGTTTATTTGCTTTTCAGTAAAAGCCATCTTGGAGGTATATTTATACTCTTGGCAGCTGTGTTGTGCTTATTCCCAAGTGTTTGCCAATGTTGTGACGAACCTAGAACTTATAAATTTGAAATCTATGGTTTCCAAAGATTTCTGTAGGCTTTGAGCCAGCACTTAAAATAATAAATTGACATGACAACCTTATAGGAAACACTGACATAGCTGATGATGCTAAATATATAAATCTTCTGTTTTCAATTTAAATAAATATTTAATGGCAAATCACATAAAAAGAAGGTTATGTTTCTGATTCAACTGAAGTTACTTCATTTTCATTCGCTACTGCTGATAATCCATTTATTGTAAAATCTTAATATAAACTTAATCCCAATAGGTTTACTTGTAATTCATTAGTCAAGAATATGGCCTGTAATTTAGTCCCATTTACAATCTGGCTATTCCTGTTCCACCTTTCTGTTCCACTGAAGAGTGCAAGAGAAAGAGAAAGAAGGAAATATACAGGTTTTCAGGGTCCATTCATTTCAATACCCCATATTTTATTTCTATATCTCTCAGACACAAATTGACTGTCTGCCCCTTTCCCGCAGCCCTTCACAAATGTATCCTCTGTCCTGGATTCTCTTCCTTCAAAGTGAAAAACAATAGTAACAATAAAAACAAATTCAAGTAGATACAAAATACAGAATCAAATAAAGGTTAAAATTAAGACTTTGGGAAATAGATACAGAATAATA